CACTCCTGGATCCACCACTCTGACTGAAAAGATGTTAACATTTTGCAATATTTGTTTTAGATCTCTGTTCTTCTTAAAGAAGCAAACCGTTATAGATACTTATGAGGTTTCACCATTCATCCATCCCTCACCCTTCCTTCCTATCCCAGAGGAAATGACTCTCCCTAATATGGTGTACAACATTCCCACAAATGATCATATTCTACACATGTATATCTCTATACAAATAGTCTATTTTTCATGTGTTTACAATTTTTTAGATAAAATAGCATCATATAGAACATATTTTGTAATTTTATTTTTCTCAATATTGTTTTTGAGAATTTCTCATTTCCATACATGTTAAACTGATTCATTTATTATAACTGCTATATGATAGTCCTCTGTGTGAATAAACAGTCTATCCATTCCTCTACTGATGGACATTTAGGTTATTTCCACTTTTTTCTAGGACAAACAATGTTGTGATGAACATCTTCATGTATGCCTCTTTGGGCACAGGTTACCTTTTCAACTTTATTTAGTTTTGGCAAGTTATTTGATAGTTGTTGTACTAATTTACCCTTTCTCCAGCAAGCTTCCTGTATTCCTAAATACTCAAAAACACATAAAGTTATTAATGTTATTATTTTTGCCAATCATATGAGTATAAATTGTCATCTCATTATTACTTATTTTGGATTTTCCTTATTTCCAGTGAAGTTAAACATCTTTTTTATGTTTTTCGGCCTTTTGGATTTTTATCTCTGTGAATGCAATACCCTTTGCCCATTTTTTATCTCCTATATTTTTGTGTTTTTCTTATTTATTTGTTGGTATTCTATACATATTCTGAGTGCTAGATCCTTTATCCATTAAATTACCTATAATTACATTTACCAGCCTTTTCCTTTATTGCTTCTGTAAACTAGTTCTTATGTTTTTCCACAAGTTAAGCCCTTGCTACATAAAGTATAATCCATGGACCAGTAGCATCAGCATCATCTGGGAACTTGTCAAAAATGCAAATTCCTAGGGCCCACCTTAGATCTGCAGAATCAGAATCTGAATTTTAAGACCACTAGATGATGTGTATGCACATTGAAGATTGAAAAATACTGGATTAAATGATTAAGAAAAGTGCAAAATTTCTTCCCTGGGGGTAATAGCTCAGAGGTCCCCACTTGCCTTCTTTTTCTTCTTTATAAATAAAACTCCCTGGCTTTAAATCTGTGCGTCCTCAGTTCATATATCCTGGAGCTGCACTACAAAATTTCAGAAATCAAAGAAGCCATTAGAATCTGATTTGTAAATTTGGATATTTATGGGATTTTATAGTGGAGTTTTCAAAGTGGAGACACATCAGTTTATCTGATTCCAAATAGAGAAATAAACATCAATGGCAGCTGCATTGTAGTGCAACTCAAAATTCAGGCCTCGGAAGTTTTGTTGAATGCTGTCAAAGAACTAGTTCAGCTAGGAGGCATAAGCCATCAAATGTCTTCCTTGTTCATACATGCCTCTATTTTTAGTTGACACAAAATGCCCCAGAAATGAATAACAACTCAAATTAATAGGGGAAATTGCCAAGTGTTGTACATGTTGTCAGATGGGTGATGACTTCTGTGTATCAGCATGATTTCCTGAGGAGTATATGAGTGGTTGGCCATGTAGGAAGGGGGCACTAAAAGAGCATACAACTATAAGCCAAGAATCATAAAATTATACCTTAGAACTCTCTGCCTTTTCTAACACAAGGGAGGTGATTCCACAGTATGAAACCATCTAGCTATAGGGATTGTGGTGAGGTATTTACTACTCACTGAATGTCACGGGTGCTCCCATATTTCCCAGCCCCTCTGCAGTGTGCAGGGGCACAGAACACTGGATCTGGCAAATGGGTTGTGAGAAAGAGAAATGTGTCACCTCTGGCCTGAAACATTTAATTTCCTGCTCCCTCTCTCTCTTGCCCTGCTACAGCAACCAAAGGGGTCAGGAGTCACATATGGTGTAGCTACAAGATAGTTGAACCTCCGTCAGTAGCCTGGGCCCCTGAGTGACAAGATGGAGCAGATCCCTGCACTGACCCACATTGGACATGTAGCATGAGTGAGAAAGAAACTTTGTGGTTTGTGCCAAATTACTGAGATTGGGGTGTTGTTTGCCTTGCAGCATAGCCTGGGCTATGCTGACTACTACAATAAGCATAGCCAACTCTGCCTTATTAATAATAGCTAACTGTTGAGTGCTACTTTATTCCAGGCACTAAGCTGTAAATTCTAATGCATTACCTAGTATCTCACAATGACCTTCTGAGACAGACAATAGTATTATTATATATTATTGATATATATGATATAAATATATACCATATATGTCATATAATATATAGATAATGTCTATATGTAGATATAGATATATCATATATATCAGTAGTATATTGTGAAAGGAGGCTTGTTACGCTAGAAGTAGTCTCTCCTTCTAGCTATGGCCAATCCCTCCATGTGAGATCTGGATGCTATTTCTTCCTCCCTTACATTATTGATTATTTCTTCACTCTTCTGAATCTATATTTTCTCCCCTTCTATTCAGTTTCCCCTCAGCATTCTCAAGTTTCTCCAAGCTTAACAAAAGTCCTCCAACCAACTTCTGTCCTCCAACTATTATCTCCCCTCCTCTCCTATCCCATCTCTATCTCCTATCAGTAAAGCATTCATCCTCACTTCTTTCCCTCAGCCCCTCCCACTCTGTAACTACTCCAATATTGTTTCTTCTTCCATCACTCTACCAAAGAGCTCTTTTCAACACTGCTAATGATCTCTGCATTGCTAAATTTAATGAGCATTTAGTTTTCACCTTACTTCATTTCTCCGCATCACATGATGCGGAGCTGACCACACCCTCCTGTTGAAACAATATTCCATAGGCACTTCCTCTCTGGTCACTCTATCTCATTTTCAGCTTCATCATCTGTTGCCGGGTCATTAAATTTTAGCCTTCGTCGTGACTCTTCCTAGCTTCTCTTTTCTTCTCATTCTATGGCCACTTTCCAGTCTTTCCCCTAACAGTCTTTCCCAAGGCTGCTATCACTACACAGACCTAGGCATCCCCCAAATATGCACCTCCATCTGGGGCTTGTGCTCCCCAATTGCCAGCTCAGCTCAGCACCTCCACTTTGATGTCTTAGTGTGCTCAAGGCTGAACTGTCATGTTGTCCTCACCCAACCTACCTAACTCTAACCTCTCCTGCTCCTTCCTCAGTCTTCCCCATCTCAGTAAATGGTGTCACCTTCCCCCTATTTGCTTATCTCAGAAACCTGGGAGTAGAGCTGCATTAATACCTTGGGGAGTGCTCAGCACCAAAATGTGCTTTACTATATTTTGAAATACAAAACAAACTAAAGCATGTCATAACTAAAATAAGTCTTCAAAAATTCTGATTTTCCCATAGTGACTATAACGATGCTTTTAAAAAGAATATCCAATCCTTTCCAAAATAGCTTAGGGCCCCTTCTTTGCTGTTGCTCTAAGAGCTACTTGGTAGTCCTGCCCTGCCTAGGAGTCAACAGTCAGGTACTGTTTGCTGTTGATTCTACCTCCTAAAACATTTTCAAATCTGCCTGCTCCTCTTTGGTACCAGTGCACCGTATTCCAAGCCAGTGTGACTTCTTGTCCGAATTTCTGCAGTAGCCTCTGAAACCTCCTCCCTGCTCCAATTTATTCCCCACAAAACAGCCAGGCAGAATAATTCCAGAAATACACATAAGTGACCCTATCAATCCACTGCTTAAAAACTCTCAGTGGCTTCCCATTGTCCTCAGGATAAAATCTGAGACCCTTAACAGGTCCGAGACCCTTAACAGGTCCAAGACCCTGCCGCCTTGCCATGAGCCAGTGTTACCTCTTTGAGCTCTGGAAAGAGCCAAGCTCCTTACAAGCCTTTGCTCATAAGGATCTACTCTCTGTCCAGAGCTCTCTCACCCCTTCCAGTTTCTCCTTCTTCAGTTCTTAGCTTTAATGTCCTTTCTTCAGATAAGCTTTTCTTAACCTCTCACACCAGGTCAATGCTCCTTGTTAAACACTGTCTTAGTAACCACCACTTTGCTTTGTAAGTAAATGATTTTTTGTATATTGGATAGTTTAATCTCCCCTCCCAATTTTAATGCAAACTCCCTATAAACGTCAGTAACACGCTCTAGTACACAGGAATTCAGGTATCCTTGAATCCAGCTTTGATTCTAGAGCCCATGCCCACAACTACCACGTGTACACATATATCTACTCATCCTAGAAGATGGCTTTTTGCCTCTATTTTATGATTGCCAAATGTTGATGCACGGGAAACTAAGGTTTGACTCTGGAAAAATATAACATCTCTGGGCGAATTCTAGAGCAATGATGTTCTGCTGTTGGTGAATCTCTTTGCGCATGTTCCTGTCAGTAGCAGATTATATACCTCAGCCTTCTCCTTCTGTGGGAGAACACGGGGGACTGTTCAGATTACAAGTGGGACTGGCTAAACAGGACTCCAGCTCTCCCCCTGTATAATCTCCCCTTACAGGGCTGTAGTAGGACTCATTCACTCAATAAATATTTAATGAGCATCTTGTATATGCCAGGTCTTGGTTTAGATATTGCGGATACAAATACGGTTTAGGATGTTTAGCAGAGTGCCTATCTCATTTAGAATTATAGATGGTCACTACTACTAGTATTATTACAGTTGTGTGTCGACGTTTGCCTGTGTCACATAGCTTGTGTGACAGGGTATGTGGTATTTGTGACGTTTGTCACTATCCGGACGCAGTCTCTGCGGGGCCTGGATCTCTGCCAACGCACGCGTACGCATAACGGGGCATCACTGCGCCGCATGGCCGCCCCTCCCCTCCGGGCCACCAGAGGGCGCGCGGCTTCTACCGCCCCGCTCGCTGCGTCTGCGCCTGCGCCGCGCCAGCCGCCCGGCCTCCGCTCCCCTCCCCCCGACGCCCGCTCCGCCCCGCCCCGCCCCGCGCCCTAACGCTCCGCCTCCGTTGCCCCTAGCGGCTGTTTGTTGACTTCCGGGAACGCGGTAGTCGCCGATACTCGGAGTGTAGCTATGGGGGCCGAGGGGGCTTCGGCGGCCCGCGTCGGGGCTGAGGCGCTGCCTTAGGCCCCACCGGTTCGTCCCCGCCGCCTTCCCGGCCCAGGCGCAGGCTCCTTGTACCGTCCTCGGCATGGAGGAACCCGAGGAGGTGGTGCCCGGTGAGTCGCGCCCGCGGCGGTGGCGGCGGGCCGGGAGGGAGGGTCCGCTGGCGGGCGGGCGGCTAGGCCCCGCCTCCGGGCCAGCCCCGTCGGGGGACAGGCCCAGGCCGCGGCCGCCGGACTAGGGCCGGAGCCTGGGCCGCGACCTCGCCAATGACTGAGGGGAGAGACGGGATGGGGGACAACAAAGAAGGTGGTGCCTGTCTTTCTTCTTTTTAAATAAACTTTCGATGAGTTTCTCGAAGGCAAGGGCAGTCTTTACCTCCCTATAAACGTCCCAAATTACCTCCTTCGAAGTCCCCCAGGACCCAGTTATGTATTGAATGCAGTAGAGTGGGTGACCGGGGGGCGTGGGGTAAAAGAGGATGGGGAAAACGACTTGGGGAAAAGAGATGAAGAGGGAGCGCCTTACCGAATTTTTTTAAAGACTTTTTCACCTGAGCTCCAGAAATAATTTGACATTGTGACCCGGTACCGCATACATACTGTGGAACACAAATAGACGCTCGTGAAGCAGTACTTACTCTAACACTTGGGATACGCTCAGATCTTTTCTATAATACATTCCTTTCAAAATGGTAATCTTGACCCACTAAATTGATTTTCTGACCCACTAATGGGTCATGACCAACAGTTTGAAAAAACACTGGATTAGAGCGGAATCATGCATTCGCTGAAAGATATATTGCGTTTTCTGCCATGCTCTTGGCTCAGATATGATTAGATTCCGGAGTTCACGGCTTAGTGAGAGATACAAGAAAGTAAACATGATAATACTTTTGACAGTAGATGCTAGGGGGCCAGAGCAGAACCACTAAACCCTGGCTTGTGGTGAGGTTATCAGGGAAGGCTTCCTGCGGAGGAGCAGGACAGAACAGTTAAAATTATTCATTCTAGAAAAACCGAGAGTCTGTTCTGGCCTCCCAGATCTCAATTATCAGTTTGAACTGACACGCCTCATAATTCTTCTCAAAAGTTTTTCATAGTGACTAGTTTCTTGCACATTAATATTTATTGTTAATACTTATGTTTGCTATGTTTTCCTTTCTGCTACCCTTTAGTTTCTTTATGTGTGATCATCTTCCTTGAGATTTCCTCAAAAGCTGGATCTGGTCTCCTATTTGGGAGGGAGTGTGTGTGTGTTTAAATGGTTATTGGGAACTGATGGGGTTTTTTGGTATCTCTCCAAAATGGTACTGCACCAAAACAGTTTGTGAATACTATTCAGATCAAGTAGTATTTACTGACTTAATTTAAGAATGTTAAATCTCCACATCCTGCATCCTCATGATGCTAATGATGAAACTCAATACTGTCCAATTTCTGTGTGTGGAGAGAAGCCCTCAGTCAGGGGCTGGACCATGAGGTATTAACCAGAGTGAGTGGGCACTGATTGTATCAGCTCATTCAAGGGAGCAGATGGTCTACCTGGTGACAGCAGGACTATTAGTAATTGAGGACTGCCTTCCTTGTGATAGTGTATTTCTTATTACACCAGTAAATGAATAATACATATTTAATTTATTAGATTTCATAAATAAAACTAGAATGAAGTCTGAGCAGTAAGACTGAATTAAGGTGGAAGAAGGAGGGTGTAAACAGTGCTAGAGTGGAGACAAAGGTGTCATGAGACAAGGAATCTGTATAGGTAAATTACTGAAAAAATATTTGAGTAACAGGCAACATAGTAAAAGTAGTAAAATGGAAACTGTCATTTGTTTGCAGATTCGGGTGCTGTGTTTACGTTTGGAAAAACTAAATTTGCTGAAAATACTCCCAGCAAATTCTGGTTTAAAAATGATATACCTATATATCTTGCGTGTGGAGATGAACATACTGCTATTGTTACAGGTTAGTATTAAAATCCTAAATGAAGATAGTCATACTTAGAGAATCCTAAATATGACAGATGTGCTGTGTTTGAAACATGTTGAAAATATACAGAAAGTGTTGTTTTACTTTGCCAGACAATTCTTGACAAATTGATTCATCAAGAGTGTCTTTTAAATTTTAAGTTCCCTTAGTATACTTAAATGATTTTCTATACACACTACTTTCTCGGAATAAATCTATTTTAATATGTCTATATAACCAAAAAAATGGTACTGTATAATCTTAGAAACTCTTTACACCTAACAGAATCTGGCTATATGTAGATGGACAAAGTAACCTGTTTCAACATGGAAAACCAATGACAGCTTTTAAGTATAGCTATTTTATTGCTTTGTGATGGCTTCATCTCACATTACTTTATGTTGAAAATGCTTCAATTTATTATTTCTTCTTTCTTCCCACCAGGAAATGGTAAACTTTACATGTTTGGCAGTAACAACTGGGGCCAGTTAGGATTAGGATCAAAGTCAACTGTTAGCAAGCCAACGTGTGTCAAAGGTTTGGGGTCTTTTCTTTATCACTTTAAATACTTAAAAAATATATAAAGTACTTTTATATTGATTGTGTAGTTCTTTATTATCCTATTATAAATAATAAATCCTTTAGGTATTTATTTTCTGATATTTACTTGAATATTATTGGCATTTAACTTTATTTTTTATGATATTCAGAACTACTTTTATATGTTAGAGTCTAAAAATCACATTGATTTTAGACTCAGAGACCACAAAGGAAGTAATGATTCTACAGTATTGCACTTGAACATCCTTTTTTTTTGGCCTGTTTGTAAACCTACTTTAATATTACTATTATTGTATATCAGAGAGCAAACAATATAATGTTAGAATTTTTTTTGTGTGTGAGGAAGATCAGCCCTGAGCTAACGTCCATGCTAATCCTCCTCTTTTTGCTGAGGAAGACCAGCTCTGAGCTAACATCTATTGCCAATCCTCCTCCTTTTTTCCCCAAAGCCCCAGTAGATAGTTGTATGTCATAGTTGCAGGTCCTTCTAGTTGCTGTATGTGAGACGTGGCCTCAGCATGGCTGGAGAAGCGGTGCATCAGTGTGCGCCCGGGATCTGAACCCGGGCCGTCGGTAGCGAAGTGCATGTACTTAACCACTAAGCCACGGGGCCAGCCCTATGTTAGAATTTTGAGCTCTGTCTCATTTGTTAGAGTTGCAGACATCATGGTTCTAGTAGTTGCTGGTTTTATAAAACACATTTACCCTGCTGTATGTAGTGAGTAGATGTGCTGAACAAAACATCGGGACTAGGGGTTGCTTAGTCATCAGGAAAACAGGACAAAATATTTTAAATCAGAACTGACCCAGAAAATATGGGATGTATAATACCTTTACAAAGCTTTCTCACCATTATGTGCAAAGCTTCTGTTTGATTATGACTTGTGAACATCAACTAAGCTTGAATGGCGATGGAGATTCCTTGGATGTAACAAGAGTAGTATTCTTTATCTTCCTAGCCAAATTTTTAATTTCAGCTCAAAATTTCAGTGTAATTTATCATGTCTGTGCTATTTATAGATATTGTTATGGAACTTTTAAAGTATTTCATTTGGTCAAAAAGTATTTGTTGAGGACAGTCTACTAAGCCCTTGGGTTTATTCGCAGTGCCTATGATCCTTACTCTCCAGCATCTAATAGCTGAGTGAACGGGATTGTCTAGACTAGGAGATCCTTGAGACCAGGGACTCTGTCTGAATGATCTTTGCAGTCTCTATGCTAAGCACTTAGGAGATGTTCTGTAAATATTTTTTGAATATGTAAATGAATGAATTGAGAACTGTAATGTGGGTGTATGCCTATGAATATTAGACTTACAGTATTTCATTGCATGAAGTAGGTGGTCTTGATGCTGGTGATGGCAAGATTAGGGAATAGATCAGGTTGGTGAGGAGGCAACATAACAATGCAGTGGATCTCAACATATGTTAATTACCTGTGGAGTTTTTAAAAATATATAGATGGGCCAGCTCCGGGGCTTAGCGTTTAAGTGCGCGTGCTCCGCTACTGATGGCCTGGGTTCGGATCCTGGGCGCGCACCGACGCACCGCTTGTCCGGCCATGCAACTAGAAGGATGTGCAGCTATGACATACAACTATCTACTGGGGCTTTGGGGGAAAAAAAAATATATAGATGCCTATGTCTTACTTCAGATCTACTGACTTAGCTTCTCCATGGGTGGGGCTGAGATATCTATATTTTTCTCAAAGCTCCAGTGGTTATGATACACAACTAGTTCTGAAAACTTTTGGTTTGTTTGTTAAGAACATTGACTTTGGTGTCATACAGGCCTGGGTTTAAATCTCAGTGCTACCACCTAGTTACCATTTGACCTGATTATTTATCATTTTCATAACCATAAAATATTTTAATTGTAATATTTTTGTATTTTTAGCTTTAAAACCTGAAAAAGTGAAATTTGCTGCCTGTGGAAGGAACCACACCATAGTTGCAACAGGTATAGTATTCAGTCTGTATGACTTCCTGCCTCATTTGAAGACTGAGGTCTTCCTCCAGTAACCTTTGTGGGTTTGTAAAATTAATAGAAATGGTGCCTTGGCAACAGTAAGATTAGGATTTTTTAAAATGTAAGTGGTTAGCACACTTGTTTGCCTTTGAAAATATGCAGATAAATGTTACATGGCTGCAGAATAAAGCTGCTTTTCTTGGATTATGTCAAGGGACAGCATCTCCTTACCTGTTTTCACACTCCTTGATCTTGCTCTTCCCTCTTCTTTTCTGAGGATGAGTGGAAGCCACTTCCAAAATGCTATTGATGTGAGTTAGCACAACTCCAATCAAAATCCAAACAGGCTTTTTGTGTGTATGTGTGTGTATAGAAATTTACAAGGTGATTCTAAAGTTTATATGGAAATGCAAGAGACCTAGACTAGCCAAAATAATTTTTAAAATAACATAATTGGAGGACTAGCACTGCCTGATTTCAAGACCTACTGTAAAGCTACAGTAATCAAGACAGTGTGCTCTTAGGCAAAAAGATAGACAAAGATTAATGGAACAGAATAGAGTCCAGAAGTAGACCCACCCATATATGCCCAACTAATGTTTGACAAAGGTGCCAAGGCAATTCAACGGAGAAAAAGTAGTCTTCTCAACAAATGGTGCTGGAACAATTAGATGTCCAGGCGCTGACCACCAAGCAGTCTTTCCTACCTCCTTTCCCATGCACACAGGTTCTTCTTTGTTCAGGCTATTATCATTGCCTCGACTCCTCCTCACCTCTCTGCCCTTATTCATACTTTTTCCTTGCTGAAATGTCTTTTCTCTTTCTCTTCTTCAGATTGTTATCTTTAGGATCCAGGATAAGTCTTATTTCTTTCATGGAGCTTTTTGTGACTATTCAACTTTTTACTTATGTAGTTCTCTGAACTGCTTTAGCATTCCACCAACTGTGGTTTGCTCCGTATGTGTTAAATTCTGGTCCAATTCCATGTTAAATGTGGTCCAATTCTGTGTGGCCTTGTAGTATCTTCCATTTGAAAGCTAGTCTTGTTTCCTCAGTTAGGTTTCCTTTTTTTCTAAAATAATATCTAATTTAAAATTTTTGCTTATTCAGGCTGATTTTGCCCTCACTTTCCCCTATAATTTAGCCAGGCTTTAACTTCATGTGGATTTTTATGACAGATATAACTAATTTTTAATATGTATATGTTTTAAAAAATGTTTATTAGTTTAGAGCTTACTGGCAATGTTTATTATCTAAGCATGATATACTTCTTATTTGATTAGAAAGTAAATAACAAACATTTATATAGTGCTTACAATGAGCCAAATGCTGTTCTAAGAATTTTATAAATGTTAACTAATTTAATCTTCATGACAATTCTGTGAAGTAGGCACTATTATTATCCCTATTTTACAGATGAGGAAAATGAGGCACTGAGAGGTTAAATACAGCTTGCCCAAGGTCACACAGCTAATAAGTGGCAAGTCAGAATTTGCACCCAGGAAGTCTGGCTCTGGAGTCCTCTCTCCTAAACACAATGCTATACTGTCTTCCTATTTAGCTAGAAAATTAAAATAATTACACAACATAGAATTTTTATGTTTCTAGTTATATTCTTCTTGAATTTGCCTCATTTTACTTATTTGTTACCTATTAAATCTTGGCTCTAATGGGTATGGAAGTTAAAATTAATGAACCACATCTCTTTTAAAATAGTTTGATTTGGATTATAAATTAATTTGGAAGTTACTTTCCTCTTTTTTGCTCTGAATTAATAAAGTGATGCACGAGCAAGAAAATACATTCCACACATTCTATACATCTCAATTGCTACTTAAACTCTAGAGTGATTTATAAAATCTCACAAAAATGTGTAGCCTTGCTCATTTTGCTTTATAAGTTGTTCACCAAATTATACAATAATGCCAGCTTTCAACTTTCTTCACTGTTAATAGAGGAAATATCTGGTATACACTGGCCTGTCTCATAAAGATGGTGACTATAGTATACTGATGTTTTCTTTTCCATGTGCAGAAGGAGACAAAGTATATGCAGCTGGAGGAAATAATGAAGGACAGCTGGGACTTCGTGACACTGAAGATAGAAATACTTTTCATCTAATTAGTTTTTTTACATCCCAGCATAAGATTAAACAGCTCTCTGCTGGATCTAATACTTCAGCTGCACTAACTGGTGAGATTTTTTTGCATTTCAAGCTGGTACACATCTCTTTCCTTTAGACCAGATTATACCAACTCAGGAAATTGAAGACAGCATTGCTGTTAAATTTTCTTTCGTTGACTATGTGTTTTCAGAAGACGTTTAAAATAGAACTTTAAATCATGTCATACATTACAATTTTATGCTTATTTAGACTTAGATGTAAACATACATTTAGAAGATAATTGTTAAATAAATTCTAAGCTGTGCTGTCCACCTGCTCCTTTAGATATTCTTAAATATTATCTTCATTGTGTGTTCTGAAAGTTATACTTGCAGCTTTAATGAAGTTGCTGTCAGAAGCATCATAGCAATATGTTGGATATATGTTGTTAAAATACAATTTATAATGGTTTTTGCATCTCTCTGCCCTCCCTATCAAAAGCCCATATGAGAAATTTCTTTAAAGTTTGGAGGTAAGATAAACCTGGTCTCACTGAAGAAGCTCCTGGTGTGCTTCTGTGTTCCAGTTGGGGGAGCCATGTAACTTTTGGTGTTGCTCTAGCTGTCGAGAGAGCAGAGTTGGATCTGCAGCTCTCTCCCTTTAGTTCTGTCAGCCATACAGTTAGCATTTTGACATCCTTCTTTGGGTTCTTATTTTCAGTTTTCCTTTTATTTGTCTTATCATTAAACCACTTCAAAGATTAAAAATTTTTAAATTAATTAAAAGGTGAAAGTAAGTCTTGATAATTTCTTTCTAAAATATTTTTCCTAATTTGACTTTTTCTGACATCGAAACCCTTATCAGAAAGAACATAAGTTAGCCTGTTTTTGAGATGCTATAAATGCTAATTATCTATTCTCTGAAGCTAGATTATGTGTTTTCAAGAGTAAATTGTGAAAAAAAAGTTAGTGAAATGCATTTATTTTTTTTCTTCCTTTAAAGCATCATTTTCACAGTGTTCTCAAGAGCAAGGTCTTCTAGGCCATTTTGGCCTGGGACTTGCCCAGGTGATGTCCAGCGTGACTCATACTGTCTTTCAGTTCAGTTGCAGGTAGACTGCTGGAAAGGAGGAAACCATTTTCTGTTTAGAGACATTAGAATAAGAAAAGGTTATTATAGGAAAGTATATTCTGTCTTTGCTATTGAGATAAAAATATGGACATGACTAAAGTGATTTACATCAAGGTATTCTCTGTCCTTTATCATTGTAGAAGCATTTCATAATAGAAATTGAACTCTTAAGTAGCTAGCTGGTATAAATGACTTAGTAATAGTTTTCTTTCAAGACACACAATTTTTCTAAATTAAAAAATAAATTGTCTGTTGGAAATATAATAACTTGATAGCCCTGCCACTTTTTAAAACCTTTTTTCCTCCTTGTGTTTTCTTTATAGAGGATGGAGAGCTTTTTATGTGGGGTGACAATTCTGAAGGGCAAATTGGTTTAAAAAATATAACTAATGTGTGTGTCCCTCGTCAAGTGACCATTGGGAAACCTATCTCCTGGGTCTCTTGTGGATATTACCATTCAGCTTTTATAACAAGTAAGGCAGAACATTTTGGATTCATCATGTTATCTCCCATTTCTAAGTTATTACTAAATAATAAAATGTTATAAAATTCTACAGTTCTATAGAAATAATGCCATAATAGTCCATGTAATGAAATAATTTTGGTTTGCTTTAGGTCACGGTATTTCTCCATTTCAATAATGAGAATTTATAATTTCAAACTCTCTGACCTAAGTTTTTTTAGTGAATATTAAGTCTATTAGAGAAACAACATTTATATGTTAAAAACCCTTCTAACTTTTGGTTCTCAAACTTCTTGGACTCTTTGGCATTAAAAACAAGACCTATGGGCCACGTTCTCCTGGATCCACTTGCTTCTGTACTTTGACCTACTCTACTCTTGTCCTGATAATTTGTTTTTATTTTTCAATAAGTAAGTCATAGACTTTCATTGTGGGAACAGGGATAAAGATTAGATGGAAAAGGAAGTGAAATCAGTATGGGATATGATTTCCTTTGTTGGGACTTTTCTCAACATCTCCAATTTCTCCCTTTCCTGGGCTCACTGGCAACCTTTTCTACATTAGTTAAAATATTTGAAATGTTGGAGTCTAACTATTGTAGTCTACATCTACACTAGTAATAATAGGAGAAGTATGATCATGGCTTTTTATCTCATTGATGGTTTTTTTTACCAGTTAAAAACACCTAGAAGAAATAGTCTTGTGGCCCCTCTTAGATATTTCTCTAAATCTTTGTTTTATGTATTTACTCCTTATTCCATGCACCTCAGATTCAGGATTAGAAAGTGCTGATTGACCCATTCCAGTGCTCCCCAGATTTACTAATGAATTGGTAGCAGCTTGGTACCAAGAGAGGGCAAACTCCAATTTGGCTAGTATTGTTCACTACTGTATCAGTTTATGCCTTGAACAAACTGATAATCAATTAATATTGTCAAGTGAGGGAGTAAGTGAATGAATGATCAATTGATTGTGTTCCTTGGGACAATACCAGCCTACCAACTTTTTGGCAGCTTTAGGGATCCTGGGGTTGGTGTAGTCTGTGCTTACTTTGTTTATAAAACAATAAAGAGGAAAAAAAAACACAAATGGAAGAACAAAACAAAAAATGATCTCAAGCAAAAGCATTGTCTTATATTTGGATTTTAATAAAACTACCAGAATCAATTTTATAACTAAACTCTGCTTTAGCCAATAGAGGAACAAGTGGAATTGTTCACTTAACCATCAGGCGTTACATTGAGCTTTTATGTTTTGTTTTTTGTTTTTGTACCTTTTAAAAACAGCTAATAAAACACAGCTTTATTGACATATAGCTCACATACCATACAATTCACTCATGTTAAGGAGTGAGGAGCAGCAGGAATTTACAGACAGAAGTGGAAGAAACGCATCTGGACTTAGTAACTCTTTTCATATGAGAGGCAAGAGGCATGGGAAAAAGGGAAAGGGTGCTGACTTAACTGAGCACCTCTTCTGTGCCAGTGTTTGCTAAATACTTCATTAGAAAACTGTGGTTCAGAAAACTTTAATTTCTGTGCTGATTAACTCAGCAAGTCAGTATAGCTTTGTTTGCAGTATTTGACCAAGTTTTAAGTGGCACATACCATGTGTGTTGTATGTCCCAGAACTTCCCTAAGTTCTGATTTGCTAGAAGGACTCTCAAGCTTCAATAGCAGGTTATACTCATAGCTAAGATTTATTACAGCAAAGGATACAGAGCAAATGCAACAGGAAAATGATGTTTATCCTCCAGAGAGGTCCAGCATACACTTCCTAGTACTTCCTCTTCCGAGGCCACACAGGACATGCTTTCTCTTTGGCAGTGAAGTACAGGGATGTGTGTGCAATGTCTCTGCCTAGGGAAGCCCACTCTCTCAGAGTCTGAGGCTTTTATGCAGGGGGGCTGGTCATGTAGACACATCCTACTAGCAACTAGTTCACAGCAGCTGAAACTCAGGTCCCTCAGCAATGAAACCAGGTGTACATCATCAATGTTGATGTTTATGCAAAGCAACCCTAAGAACCAAAGCTGGCGTGATTCATTTGTCCAAGTGTACATAGCAAAATCATCGATCACCAACATCAAGAACAGTCCTAGGGCCACATTCCCAAGGGTTGGTCAATGGTCAGTCATGGTTCTCTTGGAGACATACACATAATAAGCAACGAAATGTGCTGTGTTACCTCTTTCTTCACACCAATGGTGATATGTTCTTTGTCATTCTTTATTTTAGGTTATGTATTTATAAAAGTTTTAAATTCTTGCTTTCTAGAACTCATAGAAATGAGTAAAGTTCCTACTTTGAAGAAGCTCATAGTCATAATATAGGGTGATAAGTGTGAGAACAGAAGCAGATCATTAGTATTAGTATGGACAAGGCAGTGATTAAATGTCACAAGTTCCTTGATAAGAAAGTCTTTCTGGAGTAAGTGCCATCTGACTGAGTAAAATCTGCTATCTTAAGGCTCGCTCAACATATTTACTTCACACATAAATGAGCTTTCTAAAACAAGTTTCATAAAAGCAATTATTCATTTATTCAACAAGTATTCATTAAATGTTTAATGTACTAGACACACTGCTAGGTTCTTGCAATACTGTAGTGTGCAGGACAAAATCCATGTCCTTATGGGGGCTTAATGTCTAGTCATTTTTTTCTATTAAAAGTAAGTAGAGGGGGTGGCCCCGTGGCTTAGCTGTTAAATGCGCGCGCTCCGCTACTGGCGTCCCGGGTTCGGATCCGAGCGCGCACCGAGGCACCGCTTGTCCAGCCACGCTGAGGCGGCATCCCACATACAGCAACTAGAAGGATGTGCAACTATGACGTGCAACTATCTACTGGGGCTTTGGGGAGAAAAAGGGGAAAAAAAGGAGGAAGATTGGCAATAGATGTTAGCTCAGGGTCGGTCTTCCTCACCAAAAAGAGGAGGATTGGCATGGATGTTAGCTCAGGGCTGATCTTCCTCACAAAAAAAAAGTAAATAGGAATAAGATCATCTTCTTTATGTATTGTGAGATAGCTGAAATAATTTTTTAGCTGTTAGTAGTGATGATCGTGAATTCTTCATGAAGATTTTGGATTAGAATAATCAAGGGGAAAAGAAAATCTAGATTTCCTTACCATGCCATAAAAATATCTCAAGAAAGGTCAAATTTATTAAGTTGCTATTTTCTAAATTTTTATTGAATGTGAGAACATGTACCAAAAAGACCAGTATTTTGTTCGTATTCATGTCGTCATTGATCACTGTTCTTTTCCTTCAATAGCTGAGGGAGAACTGTACACATTTGGAGAACCTGAATCTGGCAAGTTAGGTCTTCCCAGTGAGCTGCTGGTGAATCACAGAATGCCCCAGCTGGTGCCTGGAATTCCCGAGAAAGTGATCCAAGTAGCTTGTGGTGGAGGGCACACAGTGGTTCTCACAGGTACATGTGGAGCCTGCTGCTCTGTTCCCTACTTTCTGTGGTGGCTAATGAAAATTTTTCTTTTACATTCATTTTTTTTATTATGGTAAGAACACTTAACATCTGATCCATCCTCTTAACAGATTTTTAAGTGTACAATACAGTGTCGTTATCTACAGGCACAATGTTGTTGTATGGCAAATCTCTAGAACTTACCCTGCATGACTGAAACTTTATACCCATTGATTAGTAGCTGCCCTCTCCCCCTATCTCTGCCCCTGGCAACTACCATTCTAGTCTCTGCTTTTATGAGTTTGACTATTTTAGATATGTCATATAAGTTGGCCTTGCATCTTTTTCCATTAAGATCTCCACTTTTTGTTCCTATAGTTAATATACATTTCTGGCCTATGGAAGAAATTTTTTTAAGTAGAAAAATATGAATCTTGTTGAATTGTTTTTGCTAGCATAATTGATGTGTACATGCTCTTAACAACTTTAGTGGTAGCAAATAGCATGTTTTTAGCTTATTTTCAAGAACAAACTGTTTTTCTCATGTGTATGTATTTCATATTTATCTAAAATTGACATTATTTTTTCTGAAATACCTTCTTATGGAGAATCTCCCCGTTGGTACTATTTTCTACATGTCGTTGATAATTCTTTTCTTTGTGACATTCACAATGTCTAACTTGGTGATTTCTTTGTGATTTTTATGTTTTATTATAGTAATTCATTAAAAGGTATTAAGATCTTAAATTACAGGTAATAAAAGGAAGTTAGAACCTTAATAGTAATGTCACTTTTGGCTTCTGAATTTTGTATTTGGTATGACATGTCATTTCTCAGGATTCTTGTCAATATATTAAAATATACTTAGTACTTGAAAATATGCTTACGAAACTGATGCTCCCGAGTTTGTTCAGTGTTAGATTTATTTTAGATGAGAAGTGTAGAGGTAATGCAATTGCGTAGTGAATTATTATGATATTTTTTGGTCAAAAAGAAATTAACAGTTTCTGAAGTCACCAGTTAATCTTCACTAACCCAAAGCTAGAAGTGTTCTAGACAAATTTTGAATAATATCTAATTCTCAGATGATAATGCTTAATGTTGCAAGATGATTGAGCAATATTTTATCTTTAGATTATCATAATCTCTCTTACATCATTCTTCCTTGACTTCTTGTTATAGTGCAAGTCATGCTTATTAAGCTATGATTTCCCAGAATTACAATTTCTAGATGGAATCTTTTCAAAGTTAGAAATAATTTTTTCAAAGCCTTCATTCTAAATTTGAAAATAATTTTTTACTTTTAAGGTTTAAGACTTTTTAAAATTTCTGCTAATAAAATAAGTTTTCATGTAATTTCAAAAAGATTTATTCTAGGAATTAAACTTTAAAATTAATCTTTATAAATTATCTGAAAATTCATTCTATAGGGAGAAATGCAACTTATTCTTTGTGTTATGTATTTTCTGTAGTTTATACAAAGATTGTAGAAGTTAATTTATTAGGTGATTGAAGGTTATTTTGAAGGACACAAATGTTGATTACATAATAATAATGTCATTCAACCATATGGTATAAAATATTTTCATAGAAATGGGCACCAAGATAATCCATGATACATTTAATTATACTTAAAATAAAGAATGCAGCTAAGAATGATATTTTCTTGCAATATTATAGACATTTAGCTTTTTGTGGACTTTGTTTTAAGGTTAAAAACCATGTTGCCAGAAATGGATTGTTTTCTCCAGATTTTTGCAGATTTTGGGATCTTGCAGACCAGTAAAGTTTTTATATTATTTATTAATATTTATTTTATTTTGATTTTGTAAAAAGAATATGAGGACCAACAGATGGTTGCCATCTTCTGATTTGCATTTGGCTAAATATGAACATTGCAAAAAAAATGCAATCTGTTTTCACCATTATATCATAAAATAGAGGCATTTTCAAAACAAAAATTAAAAAGCTCTTGATTTTATAATAAAAGACATCCACTTAAATTGTATAAATTTATCTGTATGGAAAATTTACTACTTTGCCTTGCCTATTTTTCACGTTTCTCCATGGACCTGTGAGAACTTTATTATGAGCCAGCCCTGGTGATAAACCTGTGTTCTAGAGCACAGTATGGACAGAAATCTTAAATATTTAGTCCTAACTGATGAATAAATGGACCTGAAGAGCGTATGGATCATCAGTTTAAGTACTAAACTGAATATCTAAGAGTTATAGAATACTTTGCAAGACCTTAAAGGAAAGAATAGCTAATCATCTGTTCCAGACATTCGTTTCACTAAAGGAAAGGGCTTAAATTAGATGATTCTATGGAGGCCCTCCCCAGCTTTGTTTTTCCTTATGTCTGTAACTCTGATCTTAAAATCTATTTGAGTATCATTCATTAAAATACTTTAACGATAATTTAACTTAGTTCATATCTGATGAATTTATTTAAAACATAATATTTACACTTGACTATGATAGATCAGAAAATAACAACTACTGGTTGTAGTGATGGTCGAGGAAACAATGGACTATTGTTGAGAAAGTGTCAGACTGGAACTTGGGACACACTAAATGAGGCAGAGTGGTAGATGTAATTTTGTGTGTCATCTGCAGCAGTTACCAAAAGACGAAGTCCTGGTCATGAGATGGAGTCCACAATGAAATCTGGATCCAAAGGAAAATAAGAATTTATCTTAGCTTCTCCAGATTATGTCTGGACAAGCTTAAGATCTCTACAGGGCAACAATGATTTCATTAATCATGAAATCAAATGTATTCTGTGAAATTAGGGTAATACTCATCTGAAGCCAACTAGTAAAATCTGTTTTCCTAATATAGTAGTATTTATTAACATTGAATTACATTGTTAAACATTACAAAGGTGATATGACCAAAAGTTACATTAGTTGTTATATGTAATGTCCTTAGATAAAAGAGTCTTAGATTATTTAAAGAAAATAGAAACTGTTTATCATCACTAATCAGCCAAGCACCTGAAAGCGAGCCTAACAAGATAAGGAACAAAACTTTTGTAACGTGATTCAGGCTGCCTAAACGGCCTAATTTCACAGGCTAATATCAGACAGCCCAAGAAACTTCAAGTAATTGTTGGCCAGCTAGAGATAGACAGTTGTTTTAATTTATCCAACATTCTACTATTAAGCTGAACATTCAGAACTGGAGATATGCTGTGTGATTATTAATTAAACTGAGAGATGGTATTTTTTACACCAAAATAAGGATCTGTTTTGCCATTGCCTCAGTGTGGCTTCATATCCTTGACACAGCATATTTTCTTTAAGAAGTAATACCTCTGTATCTTATTTACAAAGTAAATATTCTTTAGACAGAAAAAATGTAAAACTATATGACAATAGATAGTTATGTGTTCATTGGTATCCTCCACTGTCCAAATAAGATGAGTTGATTGGATTATTACTTTTTTAGAAAAATGTTCTTTACAAGTGAATGTCCTATTATGTTTTAAAATCTGCCTGAGTGTTTTCTCATTTAATCCTCACAGCAACTCTATTAGGTGGGGATTATAACATCAGTAGCTGTGGCAGTTATTTGCCACATACTTGCCACGGCTAGTGATAATAAAGGTTTGGGCTCCTGCCTGAATCCAAAGCTCTTGCTCTTCCTTCTGTAGCAGGAGAGGCAATGTGTTGAACTATGGAGAAGTAGACTAAGTAATAAATACTGTACTTCCTAATGCAGGGGCCAGTGAGAGTTGTGTGTCTAAAAGGACCCCTTCCTCACCACCCATTTATTCTGTTTTTGTGCCTTTCTGTTTCTCGAGAATATAGGAGCTAATATTTACTAAGTTATTGGAGGACCTTTGGAATCACTTTAAAAATATTAATATAGAGCAAAGCTTCTTTCCCTCCTTTCATTATTATTGCATTTCCTAATAAAGGAACTTTACCTGTGAACAAATCTAGCATATCTACTGTAAGTTTTAATTCTCATGCAAATTCTCCTCTGAGGTTGTTTTATAAAGTAGATTATTCTATTAAACTACTTTTAAAAGTAAGGAGTTTTTCTGTAAGAAACACTATTCATTTTTTTATTTAAGGCAGGGAAAGGAATTAGCTTAATGACAATTGCTGCTTTTTAAAGAGCTGAGTGATAATTAGACCGACATTTTAGGTAGTTCACCGATTTACGTGTCTTTAGCAATTCCTTTTATGGTTATATGTAAAAGATAAAATCAGACCCATGCCATCATTTTTACAATTATGTGCCTTGTCATTTTTCTCTTCCTTCATCCTTGAGAAATGTATACTTAAGTATTAGGTATTCTTACATGGGTATTTCTTTCAGAGGCACTTAACCTTCATTGTAAAATGTTGAATATCACAGTTTTTCTGGATATAATGGTGACAGCGTCTGCTTCCCTGCAATCCTTCTCTTGTATTTGCCTGTTCCCTTTCAGAGAACGCTGTATACACTTTTGGGCTGGGACAGTTTGGTCAACTGGGTCTTGGCACTTTTCTTTTTGAGACTTCAGAACCCAAAGTCATTGAGCATGTTAAGGATCAGAAAATAAGTTATATTTCCTGTGGAGAAAATCACACAGCTTTGATAACAGGTACAGATCAGAATTTGTATTAAATGTTTATAAATGTTTATTACAAAATAAATACTATATGGAATGAATGTATCTAACTTAAGCAAAATAATTAATAACTGAGAAAATGGAATTCCTTGTTTAATATGCCAAAGTATAAAGTTGTAAACTCCTTTTTAATATTTTAATTCAATTTAAAATCATCGTAAATGATCCAAAGATTTAGAACTTCAAAATATGTCAGTACTGTCAGAGGTAAGACCATAGTATTATACTTTGGCAGAAAGCTGGAATCTTTTTGAAATTGTATCAATTTGAAGCCTTAACTTTGCTTAGGCCAGAGGGAAAATTCTTACAAGAAAGAGCTTACTTTAAAACAGTCTCCCTTTTCAATCTGACAGAGCTACGTTCTGGCTGAGTAAATTCTTATGATGCTTTTGCCACCAGGAGGCGTTTTCAGGAGTAACTCTTTCCTGCTTTCTCCACAGTGACAGAGAGGCAGGCACCTCAAAGACCACTAAGTGAATACCTGGGTCCTCTAGATCTTCTGCTCTGTAGTTTCTCTTTTATCCAGGGAGATGCTGTTTTGGGCCTTCTTCTCAACCTCAGAAACTAGGTGCTGCTAATATAGGACTCAATAAAAATTCTCCCCTAAAAATGACTCACTCACTTACTTGTAGGTAATTGATGTACTCCACAGTTTTAATTGCTTTGGAACAAAAGCCTCTGTAATTTCACTATTTCTTGCTTACATTCCTATATAAAAATGAAGTAAGGCATTAAAAAGTCAGAAATCATATAGTATTTTGAAATAATCCAGATACTGGTATTTCTACATTTTTTTTCCTTCTTTCTAAAAAAGCTACTGCTACAACGTAGCCCACCTAATGGTATCTGGTTAGGGGAACTAGGAATCAGCGAATACAAGGTACTACCATACACTGTTCCTTTTTCCCCAAAGAACCTTTCAGAGAGAACTACCTGCCCATTTTCAAGTATTGATGTCCTTGTTAATGTAGCATGAAATAGAACTATGTAGAATGTAAAGAATTATTATTCATTCATAGTCCCAGAAGAGTTGTTGATATGTATCCCTTACTGCAGGGTCTTAATCTCAGTTTTTCTGTCCTTACTGCCATTTTTTTTATCAACTCTAAATTGCCATTGATGGTAGGTATGTACTTTTTATGGATCATCTAACATACAATTAGATTATTTGGTTAAACTTTCATAATACCTTTCCTCCTGATGAAAGAAGTTATAGCACAAATAATTGAACATTAACTTCGTTTGCCTTTTTGCTCATGAATTCTTTCCAAGGGACAGGTGTTATGAATTTTTTTCCTCCAGGACTAATGAGAGTTGTGTAGCAAGTTATCTGTAAGTTTTTGCCAGTTTCCCATTACAGCCAGTGACTTGTTTTAAAAAGCTCTCTGAGGTTCGAAGTGCAATCAGGTAGCTCGGATCAGAGTTTATTTTTTTCTGGCTAAAGATAATAAAATTAAAAGACAAACTTTAAAAAGCATTTTGGATAAAGAAATCAGGATCAAAAGAAGGAGGAAGAAGGGAAAAAGATGATAAGGAGTATATATAAAGAAAGGAAATAAATACCTAATAGTAAGAATTATAAGAGTCTAAATTTGGAGTCTAATCACTGGTTATTGCTTATTTATAGGGAATCTATTTTTGAATATTAATTTTGGAACTTGCCACTTTACTGAGTTATGTTATTATTTCTAATCATGTTCCAGTCAATTCTCTTGGATTTTCTTAGTATGCAGTTGCTTTGCCTTCTTAAACTCTAAGTCCCCAAATGTGATCTTATCATTTCCCAGATTAAAACCATTCATTTAGCTTATTATTGCCATTAAGATATTGAGTTCAAAAGTCCTTCATATGAACTAATAGGGTCCTCTGTGATGTGGTTCCTTCTTACCTATTCAGACCCATCTCATACCTCTCTACCCTTTGTGCTCTAGGTACATTGGTTGCCTTTCAGCTTCTTGATTGTGCTGTATTTTCTCTTGATTCAGAGCCTTTGTATATACTGCTGACACAACCTGGAAGATTCTTTGCTCCCTTCTTGTAGCTAAACCGTAATCATCCTTTAGCCTTCGGTTTGTAAGCCTTCCTTAATCCCTGGACTACAGGGAGATCCCCTCCTCTGCACTCATACTGGCTCTCTTTCCTTTACTTCTCCTTCTGTGGCACTTGCCCCCCTTGAGATGGAAGGTATGAAGGAAGGGCTCGAGGAGTGAAGGTTCAGAAGAGTACCTATGGCAGTGGGCAAAAGGGTTAACTGGAGAAAAGCAACAAGATTACTCATCCTCATGGGCCCAGCTATATATAGCAGACCCGGTATTGGTATAGGGACTAGTCAGCAGGGTTGATTTATGGCATTTCCTTCAGCAGCATTCCACAGCCCAGGAGCAGAATTAGTAAAAGAGAGAGTTGGATTGATCTAAGCCAGTAGTTCACCACCAGTTGTGATTTTGTCCCCCCAGGGGACACATGGCAATGTCTGAAGACATTTTTGATTGTCACAACTGCAGAGGAAGGGTATTCTATGGGCATTTGGTAGGTAGAGGCCAAAGATACTGCTAAACATTCTAAATGTACAGGACAGACCCACACAACCAAGAATTATCCAGCCCCAAATGTCAATAGTGCCAAGGATGAGAAACTGATCTAGTCAATGACCTGAGGGAAAAAGAAAGAAAGTAGGTTGTATTGGGATGTGTAAGGGGTCAGAATACAAAAATCTCCTTCCCCTTGAGAAGAATGTGTGTATCATGAGATCTCCTGCTGGATTGCTGCTGTTCCACACAATGCCTCCCACGACTAGGTTTCAACTTCACAAACCACCAAGGGCTTAGTGATTTATTCTCGGAGGATCTATTGCCTAATGAATGTTATGTGTGGGACCACAGAGATCATCAAGAGTATGGAAACCTCCATGGATCAGAGTAAATTCAATACAAAATTTGAGGGGAAAATTATAATTACAATGTAAGTTATATATTTGTCTATTTACAAATAGATCCGTACAAGTAACACTTTTATAATTCTCTTTTTGTTTGCGTTTTAGATGTAGGTCTTATGTATACTTTTGGAGATGGTCGACATGGAAAATTAGGACTTGGACTGGAGAATTTTACCAATCAGTTCATTCCCACTTTGTGCTGTAATTTTATGAGGTTCATAGTTCAATTGGTAAGGGCATCACATTTCCCTTTTTACATTTTCATATTCCTATGTTTGAGTCTTTCAGTATTTCATAGAAAATAAGTACTTTTATGTTTGTATGGAAGAATATCATGGCTATATCTAATAATTATACTCATTTTCTAAAAGCCAAATGTTAGACATCATGCCACCCCGAAAGTCTGTCACTTTCCTAATTTTCCTCCTTTAACATCTTCCTTTTTGCCCTAATCTTGACTCTTCTGCTTCGTTCTCATATGTTTCTTGAGAGCCAGGACTGTGCCATGCCTGGAAACTTTACTCCTATAGCACCCAGCAGAGTGCCTTACTCACAATAGTCATCTGTAAATATTTGCTGAATTAGATATTACTAAGACTCTCAAATCCTGATAAAGAGATCTGAGAAAATCTGATAATAAGATAATCTGATAATAAAGGGTTTTGAAAATATGTTTTATTGGCTAAATGTTATTTGGATAAGAAGGTATTGTTTCAGTGTCATCCCCATCAGGCATTGTATCTCTATTATTTCTAACACTTTTGCCGGATAAGAACTATAGACTTGAAAATGCTTTTTACTTGGTGATGATAATATCACTTGAAATTTGTTCTCCAAAGACTCAGTGCCTCATACTATAGAACACTTCCATTCCTTCATTTGACAGCCATTTAATGAATCCTTGGTCTGTACAAGATAAGATACTGGACTGAGTATGAGGAATACAAAGCATACACTGATGAACAAAGTGACCAAATCCTCATTCACTAAGCTTATAGTCTCATGGGGAAGATCATTCTAAAAGTGCTATACCAAAAATATATGTTTCAATTATAGTGTTTAAAGAATATATATTATAATTTGTGTATATGTGTGTGTGTGTGTGTATCTATATATATATATAGAGAGAGAGACACACACAATCAGTCTAGAAAGTCTACCACTAAATAAGTGTTTTTTAGCTGAAAATTGTTAAAAATCCATTTGCGTTTGAAGCCAATGTCGATTAATTTACCTGTGGATTTGTGCTACAGGTTGCTTGTGGCGGATGTCACATGCTGGTTTTTGCCACTCCGCGGCTTGATGTGGCAGAAGAAGTTGAGTTAGATGAAATAAACGACTCTTCCTTACCTGCAGCGACTTCTCTACCCATCAGCGATCTGACCTCAGAGAACGTATTGCATAGAACTTTATCGGCACGTGTGCGGCGAAGGGAGAGGGTACAGCTGTGGCCTATTCTATATAATAGTACTGTCTAGCACTGCAAAGAAAACTGAAAGAAAAAAATCCATTTTCCTTTTAAATCAAAGAAGAGACTTCTCAGATAAATTTCTTAAGTAAAATGATTAGAGTTGAGGGCTTATAAACTTGTAAAGCAAACTCAGAGTTAAGCTGTTAAACACGCAAATTAGAAAATTCAAATTATCATGTCTAACCTTTCCTTATAGACAGTGGTATTTATCACTGTCTTATCACCTCAGATTAAATGCTGAGTTGCTTTCTCAACTGTATGTGGATTGACTTCTTTGCTTTTATCTGTTAGTTATACCTTGTGAGCAGTGGAAGGTTATACACTATAAACAATGAAATGTGGAAAACAAAGAAATAAGGACTTCAGTTTGAGGAAGGGAATGTTCTTTTTCAGTTAAGTTTAGAGATTCTCATTATGTGCTTTAAAATTATTATTTCAATGATGCTTATATTTTTTAAAAAAGAAAGTGCCAAATAATTTTTAAAGGAGACATTCCTTTTTTAAAAAATTCTAAAACCTATTCCTTTTGAGGTAAAGGTTAAGTTTGGCTTTTTATTATGAGAAAGTGTATATGGAAAGATTGAGAAATATCCCATAAGTATTTTGTAGTTGTAGTTTCTTTATGTCTCATGAGTAATTTTTTGTTTCTCAGGGAAGGTAGAGAAAATATACACACACTTTTCCCCACCATGTGAAAAACAGGCTTACAAATTGACAGTTTAGAACAACTTAGATATAGAGACAACAGAACAAAACATTTTTGAGCCCTTGGGGATTATTAAAAAGTGAATGTTGTGGGATATTGGCCAACTATGAAGTCTCTCAAATATTTTTAGTAACCGCAGGGTAGTTTATGTCAATATTAAATATATAATGTCATCTAACAGTTTATTTAACCTGTTTATTTTAAAGGAGAAATCCCCAGATTCTATTCAGATGACACAAACACTATCTACGATGGAAGAGACTCCCGAACTACCTGTTTGTTTTTCCCCGCATTCAGTTCCTTTCCCTGTGTCTGCAAGAAATCTGCCAGAGAAAATGATACCTGAAAAGGAGAGCCCCATGCAGCCAATGGAACCAGGTAACATTTGATACTCTGCCTGCTCTTGGGAGAAATATACCTTTCATTCCTTTTGTTTTCATGTTTATCCTAAGATGTTTTCTCCAATTTATTAAATTATTCTCTTCCTAGTTAGAGACTGACATTTCTCATTTGAACTGAAATCCAGGAATACTCTGACAAATAGAAAGTGTCATCAGTGACCCTAAAAATTCCGTGTGACAACAGCAGCGTATCTTTACAGAACAGTGCGTAGCATATATAGTACCTTCTCTTACATTATCTCCTTTAAACCCTGAAGCAACTCCATGAAATAGGTGGGAGTTATATTCTTCATTTTTATAGATAAGTAAAGCAAGGCTTGAAGAGATTGAGAGACTTACTCAAGGTCACTCAGCTTATAAATGAAGTGAACAGGACTTGAATGCAGATTTTCTGGACCTATGAGAAGTTCTGCATTTACATATAAGGCAGTATAGCATAGTGGTTAAGAGCATGAGATATGGAGTTAAATTGATCTGGGGTCAGATGCCAGCTCTGACATTTAGTAACTATGTGCCTGACTTTGGGAAAGTTAATTTCTCTAAGACTCACTTTCCCTATCTTTGAAATGAATTTAATAATACGTATTTTAGAAAGTGATTGTGACAATTAAATGAGATAAGACATATAAAATACTTAGCATTGAGCCTAGCATCTCTAGAAACCCCTTAATAAATATAGTCATGGTTATTATTAACACCGCTACCTCACTGCCTATTAGATATAGATTTCATATTTTAAATTGTAATCCCAACTCTTCAGCTATTATACACCTCTTCTAAATAATTTCATTTACAGACATTTGTGTATCTTAGGAGTGTATATATGTTACTGCAGGGGATGTGCTCAGATGATAGGGGCAGGACAAGAAGCCAGGACCAGGAGATCAGAGTAAGCAGTAGGTTTGGAATTAAGAAGATAATCTGGGATTAAGAACCATGGCACAGATAATTTTTAGTATCTTTGGGATTAGGAACCTAGGCGAAAAGTTGTGGTAATAAAGGATCAGGAACTCAGGCAAGAATTGTGGGCCATGGGAATGGAATATTATCTACAAATAGGACCTTGATAATGAGCCAGTTTCCTGCATCTCACCCACGACTTTTGTATGTTTCCTTTTGAGATAAGAATCACTGGCCCTCTTCAGCCCTGTATGCAGGAAAAGTAGATTCTGACAACAGTGTGTACAAGGAAAAGAAGTTTATGGGTTGGGGGAAGTTGTTTCCCACTTCAAGAGATTTGAATGTGAAGAGATACAGAATTTTGTAGCCAGATCAAAAGGAAAAACCATCCCTTATCTTTTCGTGACTGCTAAAACTGTCCTAGTAAAAAGTATTTTCAAAGGTATATCCAACATATAATGTGAGTTTTTCTAAATTATTTGCAGACTTCACTGTTTATCATGGAGGGGAGGAGGTCAGGGAAGACCTTGCTGAGAAGATGACATTTAAGCTGAAACAAAGGTTTAAAAAGATAGTTACACAAAGAGAAAGGATATATGCATTCCAGGCAAAGAAAATAATATAGACAAAGGCTTGGAGGCAGTTTATAAGAAAAAGAAGACTCTTGGGGCTAGAGAGTGAGGGAAAAGGCAGGACAAGATGATGGAGAAAGAGACAGTGAAAAATTATTCATGGTTTTATAGGCTGTGAGAAGCCTATTTGATTTGTTTTTCTTAAGTGCAATAGAAAGTCATTCAAGAGTTTTAAACTGTGGGGTGATGTGCTCCAATCCAATTTACATTGTAAAATGATCACTTTTGCCTCTGTGTGGATTGTAGGGAGGCCAGACTAGAGGTAGGAAGAATACTTAGGAACCTTTCACAAGAGATGATGTTGTATGAACCAGTGTTGAGATGGAGAGAAAGGAGCAGATTTTAAATACATTTTAGACATAGAACCAACTGAACTTCCTAAACTTCCTAATGGATTACACACAGATGTGAAGAAAAGGGGAGAATCAAGGATGATTCCTAGGCAGGAGGATGGTTCACTAGTGTGAGTAAAAAAATTAAAAATTGAGCTTGAGATACCTGTGAGACATCCAGGCAGAACTATCAAGCAGGCAGTTGAAAATGCAAACCTAAAGTTCAGAAGAGAGGTCTGCATTAGAGATATAAATTTGGAAATCATCAACACAGAGATATTTACAATCTGTAGAAGTTGGTGAAATCACCTATTAGAGAGTAGAGTAGGAAGAGAAGAGAACCCAGGATTTAGTCCTGAGAATATCAGACGTTTATAGGGTAAGGGAGGAAGAGCCAGCAAAGAAGCCTTCCTCAGCGTTAGCCAGTAGGGTAGGAGGAGGGAAATTAGGAGAGAGTAGGGACACGGATTCAAAGTATTGCTCAAAGGTCAAGGAAAAAGAGCTCAAAGAAGCATCCTATTGATTTGGCATCCTGGGGATTACTGGTGATCTTGACAAGAGCAGTTCCAGGGGAAGATCAGGGCAGAAGCCAGTATTAAGAGTTGAGGCAAGAATGGGAAATGAGGAAGTGAAGAGGAGATAGGGTGTGTAGATAATTCTTTTGCATATTTTGGTCATGAAGAGGAGCAGAGAAATGGGCAGGCAGCTAGAGGGAGATGTGGGGTCAATGGGAAATATTAGAGCATATTTGTATGCTAATGGACATGAGCCAGTAGTCCAGGAGAGATTGATAACACATGAGAGAGAGTGTATAACCAAAGTTGCAAAGCTCTTGAGAAGACAGGAGGGGCTAGCTTACAGAGCATCTTTGATAAGAGGAAAGATACATCCGACATTTTAACAGGAAAATGTAGGTAAATATGTACATTTGTTGGTGAGAAGATAAAGCAGATCAGATCTGATGACTTCTGTTTTCTCAGTCAAGTATAAAGCAAGCTCATGAGCTTAAATGATCTACTATCTATTTTCCAAACCTGCATTCTCTGCCCTCTCCAATGTATCATGCTTAGCACTTTTTATGTTAATCTTCCTCAGGTACAGCTTAGTTCCCATCTACTCCAGTGTCTTCAGAGAATCCCTAATATTTTTGAAAATAAGTGTAAATTTCCACATATAACTCCCACCTGCTTTTCTGCTTTCGTCTCTTGATAATCTTTTTATAACCTTAACTGAGGTTACAAGTCTTCAGACTATGGCCCATGGGCCAAATTTTGCTAGCCACCTGTTTTTGTAAATAAAGTTTTATTGGAACCCAGTCATGCCTCTTCCTTTATATATTGTCTGTGGCTGCTTTCACACTACAATTGCAGAGTTTGAGTAGTTAGGACAGAGATTATACGGCCACAAAGCCTAAAACGTCAACTATATGGCCTTTTACAGAAAAAGTTTGCTGACCCCTGATTTTGATCAAACTGAGCTCTTCATAGTCAGACTTAGTAGAGAGGCTCTGAGGTCAAGACAGACCTGAGATTGACACTTGGCCCTGAAAAGGTCGCTGAACCTTAATTTATTCATTTGTGAAATGGGAATATAATACTTACCTCTCTTGTCAAGCCAGAGTTACCTCTCCATACAACCATGGAGTCAACCCGATATGTATAAAAGCACGTATTTCTAGCACGTGGTAAACCTTTAATACAAGCTATTCTGCTGCTTCTGTTAGTACTGGACTTCGTTTTCTTCCCCATCCACCTCCATCTCTGCTTCTCAGAATTCTACTCATCCTTGCCTACACCTCCTTAGTGAAACATTTCCTGATTCCCAACATTCAGATGTGATTTCTCATTCCTCGAAATCGTATATGTTATATTCCCTTCTAGACTATAAGTTCATTAAGAATTAGGAGTTACTTAAGTTGATATCTTCTGCATAGTACCTCACATGGAATAAATACAAACTGATTATTTGTTCATTTGAATTGAATGAGTTCACAAGGGAGAGATCAATGCGAACTGGCATTTTTAGCGAAGACTTCATTAAGGAGCTCCTCTCAAATAAATATGTGGCTGCTAAACGGGGGATGAAGTAATTGAGAAAAATGTAAGGTCAAATAGCACTTATAGCTCTTAGTTATCTGATTTATGACGTAATAGCCTTGCAGTTTTCCATGAAGGTTTCTAGGTGCTTGTACTAGTTATCTGTTGCTAGATAACAAATGACCCTAAAACTTAGCAGGTTAAAACAACCAACACTTATTATCTCACAGTTTCTGAGGGTCAAGAATCCAGGAACAGCCTAGCTGAGGGGTTCTGGCTCAGGGTGTTTCGTGCAGTTGCAGGCACACTCTCAGATGTGGCTGCAGTCATCTAACGCTCCACTGGGGCTGGAGGATCCTCTTCCATGCTCACTCAAATAGCCATTGACAGAAGGCTTCAATTCTTCAGTACATGGGCTTCTCCCTAGGGGTGCTGACAACCTGGCTTCCCCCAGAGCAAGTGATCCAGGAGAGAATGAGAGAGAATGTGTGGGGCCAAGACATAAGCCACAATAACATCACAATTATGTTTGCTTTATTTTATTGGCCATACAGACAAACCTGATAAAATGTGGAAGGGAACTACACAAGGGTATGCATACCAGGAGGATGCGGGTCATTAGGGTCCTTTTTGGGGACTGGCTATCACAGTGTTTGATACCTGGGTAGTATTTATCCCAAAGGAATAGTGTTTCCTGTTCATATGAATGAAGTAGTCATTACCTCATCAGCATCAAAGTCTTTAAACTTTCAAAAAGAGATTTTAAAACCTATTATCACTGTGAATGAATTCTGTTCAATTCCCTTAACATGAGGTTAAAGGACCTTTCGTAAAATTATACCTGCACTTTATATTACAGAATAATTTCTGTTTATTGTCCAGTTGTGTTTCACTTTTCCATTGAAATCTGGTTTTCTCTTTTTCCTTTTAATCATTCAGATTATTTTCAAGATAAAATGACCAAAGGGAAGGAAACAGACACTTCTTCAGCAGCAGATTTAGAAAGCCTTGGAGAAACTACTGATGTCTTAAACATGGTAATGGTTTTCTTATTTTTTTTTTTTTTGTGAGGAAGATCAGCCCTGAGCTAACATCCATGCCGATCCTTCTCTTTTTTTACTGAGGAAGACCGGCCCTGAGCTAACATCTATTGCCAATCCTCCTCCTTTTTTTTTTTCTTCCCCTTTTTCTTCCCCAAGCCCCAGTAGATAGTTGTGTGTCATAGTTGCACATCCTTCTAGTTGCTGTATGTGGGACGCCGCCTCAGCATGGCCGGACAAGCAGTGTATCGGTGCACGCCCGGGATCCGAACCCGGGCCACCAGTAGCGGAGCACGCGCACCTAACCACTAAGCCATGGGGCTGGCCCCTCTTATTTGTCTATCTAGATATAAATTTTAATTTTAGTTCATCGTGTATTTGTATGTGTGTGTCTGTGTGTATATGTACTCCTGTACTGCTATATGCATGAGAAAAGCTTTTTGGTTTTGTTTTTGTTTCATTTTTTTGTTATTTTTAAATCAGCTTTATTGAGGTATAGGTTATACAATAAAATTCATTTTGATCCTCACATAAGTAGTATGCAATTGAGAGTTGATTATATTACTATCTGAACTGTTTTGTTTTAATTTTATTTGTGTATATATATTTTTAGAATGCATAAATATATAATCATGTATATAGTCTTTATTCTGTTTTAGAACATATATTTTTTATTTATTTCAGACACATATGATGAGCCTGAATTCCAATGACAAGTCATTAAAATTATTGCCAATTCAGAAACAAAAGGTATAATATAGAGAGTAATTTTCATTATGATGGGTAAGAACAGTTTAAATTGTTTTGTTTTCTTGAAAGCTTTCTGGAAAGAACATAAGAAAGGTAAGCGTTCGCTTACTTGAGAATTTAGAAGACAGAGGAGTACAATGTAGATAGCCTCCATTGGGGCTTGTTCTATTGGTGTGTATCTTCTGTGATGCAACTGGAGTGACAGAATTTCATTGCTGAAATTTGCTCTTTGGAGTCACTAACAAGTCATAATAGCCATACTTTCTTACCATCAAGGCAAAAGATTATTATTACAGTTCTTAAGTATTGGAAGAGGCTACTGTTTATCAGAGTGGCTCTCAGACTTTAGGTGAGTTACTATGCTGACCTTACAGGATAATATTAACATCTTTTCTAGCTCTAAAATTTTGTGAAAATGTTTGATAGTTGCTTTTCCAACGCTTATAATGGGCTTTAATTTATCAAGGAATCAATAGCATAAAAAGATTAAACTTTTGGAAATTAGTCAGAAACTACATGAGTGATAAAGAGAGACCTTTAATAAATAACAAATGAATAGCAAGAGGAAGGAATAGTCTGTGGTTTTCACAACCCTGGAGAGATAAAGGCCTGTCCTAAAATTCTTTGCTTTTTCTGGCTTTGAGACCAGTAGAGTGAAAGGATGAGTTTGGGGATTAGAAAAATAAATTGGAGAAATGTAAATTGAAGGAAGAAGGCTATAGAAAACATCAAATTTATTTTTCTAGTGCCTTTGCCACATTGTTAAGCTAAAAATCCTTAAAATCAAAGTCACTGAAATGCGAGATAAATCTTGCTAAATTATAAAAGTTTAGTGCCAATCCTCATTAGTCTTATCTGTATTTTACTGAGAAGCGTGCTGAATAACAGTATTCCTTTTGAATATAGGAGAGCTGTTCTCCTCACACAGTTGTGGCAACTCAGTGAATGTTGACTCACTTATTGACTGACTATACTTCCAAGCAGACATCTTTCCTATGTCTTTCCTTCCTCTTCTCTTAGACCCTGCACTCTGCGTCTTCTGCGCTGCTTTATTGTGCTAGGGAAATAAAGGCACATACATTTCGAAATCATTTTTGGCAACTGGGCCTCTGTCTCTCTTAGGGCTCTTGAAAGAATCGTGACTTTTTAAAGAATAGGACCTAGAACAAACAGAAAAGGAACACACTTCCTTTTATTTTTTTTTAATTTTAGTAATATATTTTATTTAACCCGATATAAGTAAAATATTATCATTTTTATAATCAATATAAAAATTATTAATGACATATTTTCCATTCTATTTATGTTAATAAGTCATTGAAAGGTGGTGTATATTTTACTTATAGCATATCTCAATGGGAACCAGCCACGTTTCAAGTGCTCAATAGCCACAAGTGGCTAGTAGCTACTGAAATTGGATAATTTCAGTCTAAACTACCACTTTCATATGGAAGGCACTTCCTTTTAAACTGATATATATTTTACACTTCACATGGTCCTTTTAAGTAGAGGCCCTACCAGGCCTACTTTAGTGAATAAAAAAAGATTTATTCTAGTATTTCTATACATTAACTTTTAACTTGTGCTGTTTTAATAATTTCTTCAGCAAAAAATTACCTTTTCCTGGGCCTGGCACTCCTCACAATTTATAAAATTTGATTTAGTGAAGTTTTACTATCCAGAGACCCAAAGTCATCGAGTATTTCAACCCACTAGCTTGTTGAATTTAGGTCGACAATTTGATTTTTGCCTTGTTTTGTCCAGCTGGAAATTATTTTCATGTTCTTAATATATCATTTAAATCTCAATGTTTAATTTCATAGTTTTTATAAAAACCTTACATTTTACCTTAAGTATTTTTCCTCATAGTGGTTTTTTTATGTATGCAAATTATTATAATTAAAAATATAATAGATAAGAGGAAGAGGGTCGACTCAAAGATTTTGTTTTGAAAAGAAAAATATATTCATTATTATTTAGTATATCAATAAAAAGATTTCATTTGTAGTTTTCATTTCAGATTTTTTCTTCTAGAAATACGCTATTCATTTTTTCCAATTTTTAAAATTTCATATTTTCATTTATATTCTTTAATTTTGTAAATTTCATGGAATCAAAAGACCAATCAAAATTTGACAATTAAGACAATAGAGAAGATAGAAAAAATTAAACTGAACTGCACTGCATGCAAGAGAAGTGTACATTTTCTAACTATTTTGCAAAATCAGTGTAAATGTATTATATCTAGGAATTGATTCAGATTAAGAAAAGGGACAGAGAATAAATATTGATGGTATTGTGAGTAAAGGCGAAATTAAGGCAGGTAGTAAGAATTTGTAAGTTAAACACAGATACATGTTACTAAATCAAAATTAGATGTACCATAGACTGAGAGTGGCATAAATTATCCCCCCCAAAAAAACAAAATCTGAGCAAAATGTCTGGTAAAACTGGACATTTTTATTCTCCTAGTGAAACTAATAATACTGCAAAATCTTGGAGTATTTTGTAGTAGATAAGTTACCTTTGTCAACTAATAGTAGTATGACGATTACTTCAAAAAATTTACAGAAACAAGAAACAATTGAGGAACTGAAGCAGCATACAGCACATACTGAAAATGATGATAGTAATGAACATGAAAGTGAAGAGATGTCCAAAAAAATGAAAGAAGGGAAAGCATATAAACAGCTTTTGGCAAAAGGAATATACATGGTTCAAGCAGCTATGACTATGGAAGCATTTCCAGATGAGGACATAGGTAATGACTCAGGCCAGCCTGGGCCTCAGTCCAACACCAGTGCACAGGGTTTGCAAAAAGAGATATTTAGACGTGAAAATAAGCGTGGTGTTTATCCACCTGGTGGTAAGGAAATAGAAAAGAAAAGTGGTGGAAGACACAGTCAGAAGGATTCAGAAGCAGAAGAAATAATCTCTCAGAAGGAAACTGGTCTGGCTGAAATGACAGGTCTGAAAGATAGACGAAAAAGTGAAGAGAATATTAAAAATGTTAATGTATTCTTTGATGACTTACCAAATAGAGACATGAATACTGAGGATGAAGAAAATAAAGATTTTGTTAAGGAAAGTAAAAGGAACAAGCAAGATGTGATCTTTGACAGTGAAAGAGAATCTGTGGAGGAGCCAGACAGTTACTTGGAAGGTGAAAGTGGAAGTCAGCAGGGTACAGCTGACGGCTTCGAGCAGCCTGAGTCCATAGAATTTAGTGGTGGAGAGAAAGAGGATGATGAAGTGGAAATTGACCAAAACTTGTGGTATAGCAGAAAATTTATTGAACAAGCACGTGAGGAAGCGACTGAATGCAAAATGTCCAAATTCATGGAAAAATATGATTTGAAGTGTAGCTTGTCAGAGATCCCAGAGGAACGGGAAGGAGCAGAGGATTCAGAAGGAAGTGGAATAGAGGAGGAAGAAATAGAGGCAAATGAGGCAAATGTGGAGGTCCCTGGAGGAAAAGAGGAGGAGGAAGCAGAGATCCTGTCAGATGACCTTACAGACAGTGCAGAGGTGAGTGAAGGAAAGGGAAAGTCAGGGGAAGGGGCAGAGGATGCACCTGAAGGTGGAGGAGGTTATTCAGGAGCGGAACAGAGGCGAAGTGAGGAGGGGAAGGAGGAGAAAGACAAGGGAGAAGGAGAAATAGAGAGCCCGGGTAAGGGAGAGAAAGACCTAGAAGAGGAGGAGGAACAGGAACAAAAGGAGAGGGAACAAGGCCATGAGGTGAAAAGAAACAAAGGGATGGAGGAAGAGGAAGGGGAGGGGCAAGGAGAGGGGGAAGGAGAGGAGGAGGAAGAAGGAGGAAAAGAGGGAGAAGAGGAGGAAGGGGAGGAGGAGAAGGGAAAAGGGAAAGAGGAAGAAGGAGAAGTGGAAGGAGAGGCAGAGGAGGAGCAGGAAGGAGAGGGGGAGGAGGAAGGAGAAGGGGAGGAGGAAGGAGAGGGGGAGGAGGAGCAAGAAGGAGAGGGTGAGGGAGAGGAAGAAGGAGAGGGGGAGAAGGAAGGAGAGGGGGTGTGGGAGGAAGAAGAGGGTGAAGAGGAAGAAGGAGAGGAAGAAGAAGGAGAGGGGGAAGGAGAAGGAGAGGAAGAGGAAGAAAAGGAGAAAAGAGAGGGAAATGGTGAGGAGGAAGGAGAAGGGGAGCGGGAAGAAGGAGAGGGGGAGGAGGAAGGAGAAGGGGAGGGGGAGAAAGGAGAGGGGGAGGGGGAGGAAGGAGAAGGGGAGGGGGAGGAAGGAGAGGGGGAGGAGGAAGGAGAGGAGGAAGATGAGGAAAGGGAAAAGAAGGAAGGAGAAATGAGGGAGAGGGAAGAGGAAGAAAACAGGAGGAGGGGCGAACAGGAGGACAAGGAGGAAG